TCCGTCACCGTGTGGTTCGCTGGAGCCACAGTCAGGGACAAACAGAGACTAGAGAGCATTGTGCGCTCTGCAGAGGAAGTGATCGGCCGCAGCCTTCCATCGCTGCAGGACCTGTACGTCGCCCGAGCTCGAGGCCGGGCTGGTCGTATCACAGCCGACCCCTCTCACCCTGCACATGGACTATTCCAACCACTCCCCTCAGGCAGGAGGCTGCGGTCCATCAGGACTAGAACCTCCCGCCACAAGAACAGTTTCTTCCCCTCTGCTGTTGGACTCTTGAACACTTCTTAACCTGTCCCCCCGCCCTTTATAAAGTCACTTTACTGCCCATCATACGTCACTTTACTTCACTGTACTGCTGTCACCTTACATTGTGTGCACCATGTGCACTTGTATATTGTAAATAGTAACTGTAACTCTATTTTAAATTTAAATTTATTCTTTAGAAGTGTTTTTTATTCTTATTTTTATTATCTCTTTTTGACTGTTGCACTGAGCCAAAGCAATTTCCTAGTCTGTGACCTCCTGTTACTTACGTGGCAATAAAAATGATTCTGATTCTGATTCTGATATTCTAACTGTCATAAAACAAGATTTGCAAAGGGGACAAAGCAAAATGATCTTGTTTACAAATGTCTCCCTTGGAATGAAAAAAATACAACAGTTCTAGAAATAAGACTAAATGGCTTTGTCCCATTGGAAAATCTTGTGTTAAGACATTCAGCTCAAAATAATCACTCAATTCAAGCAATTACTACAGCATTTATCATTATTTTTGCAGTGCCTTCTCTGTACTTTGTGAGTTGGACTATAGACATGGCCTCACTCCTCTTCACTTCACTGCCCAAATGTACTTTACACTTTATAACTCCACATTAGTCCAATTACTTCTATCTCTGAGCCGCCTTGAGTGTCCAATTAGCCGTGTTTAGCCGTGAGCGTCCTCAGCATTAGCACTACAGAGACACACACGGACCTCCGACTTCACCCCTGCACTTTAGACTCCTCCCCCCCTCCTCCTCCTCCTCCTGTTCCTCCTCCTCCTCCTCTCTCCATGACTGAGCCCAGTGTGAAGGAGGCTCACAGTGTAGCGTCTGTGCCTCTGCAGACCTCCACACACTGCCTCTTTGCAGCAGCAGGTAAAAAAAACTTAAAAAACAACAACAGTGCATAAATAGGGCACTTGTTTTTAGGGCTGGACTGGGGCAGGTCTGAAGCAGGACTGGAGCAGGACTGGAGCAGGAAGGGCGCGGCTGAGAACATAGGAGCGTGTGAGCAGAGGCGGCTTTCATATATCGTATAGCACAAATGTTTTTCCACTGCTGAAATTATAAATGCGCTGTTTGGGGGTTTGCACAGGTGGTGGGAATATTGCCGGAAATATCTGTCAAGTTTGAGTAAAATATTTTTAGTGTAGTAGCAGCTGAGTGCATGGGGCGTAATCTAAAAACTAGGCCAAGAATATTTGACTAATAATTTCTGAATTAAAGGCAAAGCAAGGTTGTTTGTGAAGCGCAGTTCATACACAAGGCAACTTAAAGTACTTAAAAAACATTCAAATCATACAAATCAGTGCAAGATACAATCCTTCAATTGGAACTAGACAGAACTATTTTTGACCTGGATTTGAACGTCGTCAGAGAAGAAGCCTGTTTTTCACATTTTCAGGAAGACTGGCCCAGATCTTTCCTGCATAAATCTGAATTGCTGCCTCCCCATGTTTAGATCTGACTCTGGGACCAGCAGGAGGCCAGTCCCTGTGCTCCTCAGGGTCCCAGCAGGAGGCCAGTCCCTGTGCTCCTCAGGGTCCCAGCAGGAGGCCAGTCCCTGTGCTCCTCAGAGTCCCAGCAGGAGGCCAGTCCCTGTGCTCCTCAGAGTCCGGGCTGGTTCATATGGGACTAACATGTCACTAATATATTTTGGTGCGAGGCTATGGAGAGACTTGTACACAAGCAAAGCTGTTTTAAAGTCTATTCTCTGAGCCACAGGAAGCCAGTGCAGAGACCTGAGGACTGGACTAATGTGGTCGTACTTCCTGGTTCTAGTCAGGACTCAAGCTGCTGCATTTTGAATGTACTGCAGCTATTTTACAGAGAGACCTGTGAGCACCCGTTACAGTAGTCCAGGGGTGCTCAATACGTCGATCGCGATCTACCAGTCGATCGCAAAGGTAGTATTGGAAGATCGCATTACATATATATATTTTTTTAATCCGTTTATGCATTTGCGTGTGGACAGAGATAACCGGAGTTTTGCGTTTTTGCACGGCACAGTTTGCCCCCAAAACAACAACAACAACAAACAAAACGTGCAACCTCTGATCACTAAAGCATGGATCATACTGCCTTAACAGCGGTTCACAGCAGCGATCCTCGCTCCACATCAGAGAGCAGCAAAGTGATCACACACGCTCGAAAACAACCAAAACAGGAGCTAAACCAGGATCAAACCAGGGCTGAGGACTGGGGTCAATGCTTGTAAACATATGTCTTCACCATGGATCTATAATAACACGTCTTCACCCTGAGTTTCTACTATGACAGTGCCGCTACAGAACGAAAGTTACGAATGTAACTTTGGTTCTATGAATCCTGGATGACCGCCAGAGGCGGTGCTTAAATGCAAATTATTTCATGAATCATGCGGTTTTGCATGTACATCAACATACATTGTAGATATAAAGAATCCTCAATATATTTAGAAATATATATATGTTTTGCATTTTTATAGTAGGTAGATCATTTTGACTTGATCATTTTATAAGTAGCTCGCATGCTGAAAAAGTGGGAGCACCCCTGCAGTAGTCTAACCAACTGGAGACAAATGCATGAATCAGAATCTCCAAGTCTGCTTTAGACACTTTAGTTTTGAACCTGGCAATGTTTTTTAGATGTTACTGATTTTAATGTGAGAGCCACAGAATTACAGACATAAATATAGCATTTTATTTATTCCAACTGAAATATTATTTCAAAAGTGAAATTGTGTGATCAGACCACAACATGTTGCCTTCATCTTTTTAGCAAACAAAAAGTGAGTGAGTCAGTATTTGGGGCTTTGGGCTGAGAGTGAAGGGCGTCCTCTCGGTTTCCCTTTTCTGTCTGAAAACCCAGATCTAAAGATGTGACAGAGCGAGGCCAAACTTACACAGGCTTTGAACCAAACTGTTTTGAGAGCGAGGAACTTAGATGGATTTTATCACACACAAATCCTGGTTTGAACGTTATTTTAAAAGGTTTTATGACTCAGATAATTCTTTAATAACTGCAGAAGCATATCATAATGCAACACTTGAGCTTTGGTTTGGTCAAATGAAAAAAGATATAATAATAAAAAAATATCTCTGGCCATTCAGAAGCCAAACAATGATATCATAAAAATAATTGATCATCATAATAATCCAGCCGTAGAGTAAATGACATGTTTAAGCACTATTTTTTATGTGGTAAAAAAGGCAGATAATATTGCTCCACTTTTTGATCTTTCTCATTCTCTCTCATCAATTAGCAGCTATAAAAAGCAGCTATAACATGAATGAAAAAATGTACACTTGTAATATTTCCCCCAGTACCACCATGTACTGTATATATATATATATATATATATATATATATATATATATATATATATATATATATATATATATATATATATATATATATATATATATATATATATATAAAATATATCAATAGAGAGAGAGAGAGATTTGCCAGGTCTTTTGTACATGAGCCTTCCAGCCTGCTGGCCCCGTCCTCTGCCTCCTGCTGCTCTGAATATGAGGCATCGCAGTGATTACGGTCGGCGGGCTGCAGACCGTCGCCGCCATCTTTGATTGATCCACACAGACTCCTAGCGCGAGGTGAAGCGAGGATTACGAAGAACAGGAAGTGACATCACACATGACGCAGGTTCGCGCTGACTCACGCTGTATACGTTCAATGAGACACAGTGGCTATGATTGGAAACGTCTATGGAGCCAACGGGGAAAGCATTCATTGTTGTTTGGGAGGGAGGACACAGAAATGCTTCTACATCTAGTTCAGTTATTGCAGTTATTTCACTAAGTCATAAAGTCGTTAGACAAAAGTCGATAAGAACAGTATGTGTCAATCCCGCTGAACATACGACTGTCCTGCTCTTGTTCAGCCTTTGTAAAGCCCTGAATCACAACAGAAGTTTTCTCGGAGGACTTTACAAAGCCCTCGATTCGCCAACACAGATCAGAGAATCAAACAGTCAACGGTCCATAAATAGCAAATGACCAATGTTCTTTTGTTATTCTTTTCTTTTGTTTTTTAATAAAGGACCTACTATGGTGAATTGATTGACCAAACAGAGACTTCAGAGCACTACTGCAATTTTCTTTTATGTGCTTTTTTATTTTTTTCATTCATGCAGATCTGTGTAACAATGTATCCTCCAAATTTCCCAAGGGACAATAAAGTTTATCTTATCTTATGTCCATAAATGTTGTTGAATGTCAAGTGTCCTGGATCATCACAACTGTCCTTCTGCATTGGCAAAAGAAAATTCAAAAAACATGGCAAAATCAGTGGGAAAAAGATTGTAGACCAGTGCGAGCCTGAACTTCATTAAAGATTAGAGTTTCTGGACCTGCAAGTCCAAGTCCAGTTCAAGTCTCTGGCTCAGGAATCTAAGTGGTTGCCATACCTGTATGTAAAAGCCAGATCCTGTCAGACCACTGAAAGCTAAGCAGTATAGGGCCTGGTTAGTGCTGTGATGGGAAACCGCTGGGAACACCAGGTGCCACAGTAGTGCGGCTGCCAAGTTTCCAAGTTTCTGGACCTGCAAGTTCAAGTCCAAGCAAGCAAGACTTTGAGTACATCTCTGGTACTGATTTTTACATGAATGTCCTAATAATATCTTCAAGTTTGTTTTTGATTAGGTAACAATACTGGGACATGGCCAAAACTTTAAAACTGTTCTATATTTTGCTTCTGCCTTCTTTAAACAACACTTCTTTAGCTGCAGCCTACATGGACTATTTCCTCCTCTGCTGTCGGCCAGTCTTATCTCTGTGCTGTGTGGGAGCTGGAGCTGTTGTTTCGCCCACGGCCTCCAGGCTCCGCTCCTCTGCAGTCAGCCAGGTGTCTGCTGCCTCCTCATGTCCCACTGGAGATACTCAGTCTCCGCTTCGGCCTTTGCCTCAGTCTGCGGTTCTTTCCGGAACCACAGCCGACGCAGAGTCACTGATCTCCAAAACGCCTCCGTTAGAAATTGTCCAAGTCTGTGTCACGGAGCCTCACATCTGACGCAGGGAGAAGGGATTTTCTTCTTCTGGCAAAACTTCACAAATTACAATACAGTTTGATCCAAGATGGCTGCCACTTTCTGTCTCAATCCATCAAATATCAACAAAATATGGTTTCATCCGATAAGAATCAATGTATTAAAGTTTGTATATCTGATTTTTATTTAAGTAAGTTAGTAATTAAGTAAGTAACTTTTAGTGGATATTGTTAACAACAGCTTTTGAATAACAAGAAAATAATTTAAAAAAGCTACAGTGACTTTTGCCAAACTACTTGCCAGAGACTTTGCAGAGATGAAAGAGTCCCCAAACTTCATGTCAAGGGATATCAGAGAAGTGGCAAAACAACAGAAAGAATTGTCCAGCCTCATGGAAGAGATTCGGGAGCTAAAGGCTATCATCAAACATAAAGAACGGCCAGTATAACATGGCGATGACAATGATCAGGTTTGGTATCGTGGTGATCGCACTTCAGCAGTCGCGAGTGTAGGTGGTTAGAAAAGTGTCTATAATGTGTTGTTTTAGAGCCTTAAAACACTAGAATAAATTCTAAAGTTTGGGCACTAAACTTGTTAGTTAAAAGAAGATATCGTACTTTTCCATTGTGTATATTCTGTAAATATCCAAAAACCACTGAACATTTTCTTTTTAGCTATATATGTAAATACATATTATATACTACCAAATATTCATGACATTTTCAAGTTGAGCTGAAACTGTGTTATATAAGAAACAAGTTTAATACTTCAAGGTGAATCTATGGAACTTACATTATATTTTATTGCTATTTTTTTCTATATGAGATTCCTTTGAGCAAAAATGACCAGATGAGGCACTGAATCCTCCACATACAATGGATTCAGATAAGAAAATGTCCAAAAAGAGTGAACAAAACCCAGGGAAGAGGCTCAGTGCTGGTAGTTAAAGGACTGAGGGGAGAACAATGGCGGTAAAGGTTCACAGTATTCAGATATCATAAATATTATAACCAAGCAAACAAAACCACACTTTTGTCAGAAATACCTCTGAAAGGACATGACGCACTCTCCCTCTCGACATTCTCATTGATTCTGCTTTTTCACTTCTGTCCCTGAGAACTTCAGACACTGTTCGTGCACAAATGATTAATTGTGTGATTTCTGATTCTTTTCCACGGAAGGTCACCCTACTGTTATTTTGGTACAAGTGTGACGTGTTTTGCTCAAGGACACAGCAGCAGTATCCAGCAGCTCAAGATGGATTCTAATATTTAGTAATTAGCTTGTTTCAATCAATCAATAATTTTTTTTTTCTATAGCACATTTCATACAGAATACAGAACCCAAAGTGCTTCACATCGGCGACATTTAAAACCAATTTAAAAACATAGTGATGATTCGGAAAATGCTACTGAAGACTTTGGAGGACGAAAAAAGAAATAAAAAATTAGTCATCTGAAATCGATATTTAAGAGATTTCATTTTTGCCTCCTCTTTTCTCCATGTTGCTTTCATGGTCATGTTGTTTTAGCTAATGTTCTACTCCTGTCTGATTTGAGGCGTTTAGACACAAGTTTATTCAGGACGACTTTAACAACTTATCATTTCCCATAATTGTACTATTCCATTGTATTCCAATCTTATGAGAGTTTTCAATATATCAATACATTTTGAGCCATTGATCCATGAGGGGTGAATGACCAATGTTCATACCAAATGCAACCCAAAGTATTTAACACGGACAACATTTAAAACCTGCTTATAGTGAATTGCAAAATAAAATCATTCTATTTCTTATTCTTATCGTAAAGAATTAACATTATATATTACTCGATTGTTCAAGCTGTGTCACAACGTTTATGTGATTATTCTTTGATAATTGGTGAATCTGTTTTTCCCCTTTTTTATGCATATATAGAAGGACAGAAAAACCTGATTGATACTGTATCTGTTTTAACTTAAGCACAATGTTCAATGTCTTCTGTAATTGCAAAACATTTCAAAAGAGGAGGACTGAAGATTCCTCCACGTACAGAGCAGTGGGCGAGAGAGAGAGAGGTGTAGGGTCAGAGAGGGTTAGGGCCTGTATGATTGAGTAAATATTGGGTCTGTGTGAATAAGGATTTCAGCCTCGTATGCATGAGTCTGTGTATACTTTATGTATTATTCCTCAGTGCCGCCATCCTTATATACAGCAAAAAGTTATAAAAAATAAGTCAAAATTGCTCAAATTTGGCAAAATGTATCCTATAAGAAAATCCTCCCTTGGAATGAGAAAATTTAGCAGCATTTATTGAAATTTTGATTCATCTTAAACGGCTTGTTTTATTGGCAAATCTTGTTTTAATTAAGACAGCCAGAGCGAACTCAAAGTAAGATAAAAAACACTCGGTTCAAGCTTTTTTTACCTCATATTTTATACATTTTTACAGTGTCAGATACCATCTATTTGGTCTAGTTTTTTTTTTGTTATAGATCCTCATTAGTCGGCACCAAAGTGACAAAACGTCTACCTGGGGTCCACCACTGAGCATCTTTAAACCTTCTAGAATATCCTTTCTCCATAATATCACAAAGATATGCACAAAAATACACCATCAATTTCCGTAATGTTGTGAGGGATAACGTTGGGCTGAAATGGAAAAAAACATAATGTATAAGTTTAACACAACAAGCTCAGTGTCTTCAGTCCAGCATCAGTTCTTCTTCAGTCCCGACTTTATGGCCCTGGTCCTGGTCCTGGTCTAGGTCCTGGTCCATCACAGCCTCTCACGGCTCTGACACCGTTTATAATTGAACCATATATTATGGTCGGTGACTGGAGGTCTATGGATAGTGATTCTGCTGATTCTGCTGCCTCCGGGTTAAAGACGGCCCTGAGTGGACATGGCAGATAGAGGAGAGACGATAGTTGAGTTCATTACACACAGGAAAACGGAAACAGAAGAGAGTAAAGCCTAGTGTATACTTGAGCGGCGTGGCTTACGTTAGCGGTTGCGGTGGACCTACGTAAGCACAATTGATGTTATACTGGCGCGTTCCCCTTACGGAGTTTTGAGGAGAATGTTGTAATCTCACAACAAACCACATGAGGGCGATCTCACAGGAGCGGTCCCATTTACGCTGCTACTTTGTCCTCTTCAGAACAACAATAGCAAACAAAGCTGTTTGAGCTTGCTGTCTCTACCATTGACAATAAAACATGTCTTCTGTCTGAATTTAAGACGCGATCCCAGACTTGGCTCATCTTCTTCAAGCTCATTACACGTGTTTCTACTGTAGGTTTATGTGATAGTTTTATGGATTCATTATTTTATAAATAATTTCAACTGTGATTCTGTGAATAAAGACACAGTTCTTGTTGGAAACATAGTTATTATTAAATCGTTTTCAGCACAAACAGCAAAACAATAATAGTGGTAAATATCTGAGACAAACATGAAGGATTTACGAGTGCAGGAGGAAAGCAACAAACGCAGCTACGATTCAAACAAAGACAGGAACAGTGCAAAACAAACGACTGCACAGTTTATAAGTTATATATATGTTATATATATGTTAGATAGTCCACAATCTCCTGTATATCAGGCTCTGAGCCCAAACTGCTTTTCCTTCGAAGCACAAAGCTCTCTGCTCCATAGTGCCTCGTCCACGCTCCTGCTGCAGCCGCTCCGTGCTTCCTTCCATACACACACACGGACCAATCACAGCGGAGATTCCTTGCGGCGACCCTTACATAGTTAGAAAATGTCGATGCTGCGCGGCAGGCGACGTAAGGGCCTTGCGGTGACCAACGCGTTGCGCAAGTGACGTCACGTCACCTCCGTAAGCTCCGCGCGAGTATAAACTAGGCTTTAGGAGGTCCGCTGCTCTATATGTTGCTTCAAATAGCTAATTACAGTGTTTTATTTTAGTGTCGAATGTCTTCTAATGCCAGGCTGAAAAACAGTAAATGGTGTGTGCATTGATTATGAATAGTTTTTTTCAATTCGATTCAATTCAATAAACCCTTTAACATTCATTCCTTGAAGAAAGAAAGTATTTTTTGGGGGAATTTTCTAAGATGTAGGGGCACTGATAAAGTTTTTATTTTAGTTTGAACCCCTTTTTTAAGGTAGGCCTTTACCAAATTGTTGAGATGCAGTTTGATAGTAAAAGGGCCTAAAGATGGAAATTTCAAGTAGAAGCATCATCGACTCTCCGCCTTGCAACTAGTTGTCTCCAGTTACTCTGTCGATGTACGCTAGGCCTTAATGTTTGAATAGCTCTATATCTCAAGAGGTTATCGCTGTGGACTTTACAAAATGGTCAAATTTTCCAACACAGATCAGAGAATCAAACGGTTCCAACGCAATGATAGATAAAACACATAGAGCCATTGATCCATGAAGGGAGGATGACCAATGTCCATAAATGTTGATAAAGTCCATAAATGTGGTTGAATGTCGAGTGTCCTGGACCATCACTACTGTGCTTGGACTCTCCTGCATCAGCAAGGCCTTTTCATACTAGTCCCCACGTGAAGAAATGGGTGGAGTCTGGAGTTAAAACCTGGGTGTACTGTGCTGTGACTTTACGAGAATTTTGTTGGCGCACAACAAAAACGGTTCGGGTAAAAACAACGTCAACAACAGGTTAAAAAACACAGGTCTGCAGTAAGAAAACGCCTATAATTTAATTGAGTATATCATCAATTTTACCAAAACAGAGCTAATAAAACTGACTGTAGATCAATAATCAGGTGGAAAACATACTGTATCTGTCTCTATGAATGTCTCACTGTCCCTTCAATAAAGATTAGATTTATACACAATGAAAAGGTGATGAAAATGTACTATTGTGATATGAATTGGCTTATACCCATTCCACCGCAGTTCCAGATTGACAAGTGAACAAAAAAGCTTGTGCACGGTCCGGAATCCTGCAGTCCACTGATGCTCCACTGATTCTACTCTGACAAGCAAAAGCACCACTCTCCCACTTCTCAAAAGCAAATTGAAGCACAAAGTTTGTAGAAAATCAA